GGTTATATCTTACACTCAAAAAAAAATAGTACTTTTTTTCAAAATTTGCCTTCCTGGTTTTATCTTCGGGAACTTTCCATATTTTTTTCGTTGGGTGCAATTCTTCGTCTGACACACGCACACAAGATAATATAAAGGAAATGAAATAATTTCTTCTTTCAGGCTTGTAGTTTCTAGGACCTGTCACGTCTCGGGTCAAGGTATTGTGAGGTCACCGGACCGACCGAGCTCTCTTTATACCCTCGCTTGACCCCCTCTGTTGCCAACTCGGGATATCTGAACCTATTTTTCCCCCCCTTCAGGCCCGATACGGTAAGTTATGAAGGATCAAGGAATGGCTTTTGTCACGGGCTCTGAAATGACAGCAGAGGCGAGGAAAAGCGAACGCTGTCATCTCCCAGGGTTATAATCCCTTTAAAAGTTGTTGTTAAAAGTTATTGGAGGATAATCTGACGCCCATGACCTGTTATCGGAGCGAAAACGGGATTGAATCAATGGAATGGAAAGGACCGTTACGGGCGCGGGGGGGGGGGGGGGTTTATGCTGCGTTTTCGTCGTAAAAAAGTAGATGGATAATCATGAAAATGGAAGAGAAAGAAAGAAAAATACAGAGGCGCGCACATGCATGTATAAATAGATAGATAGATTGATTGATAGAGAGAGAGAGAGAGAGAGAGAGAGAGAGAGAGAGAGAGAGAGAGAGAGAGAGAGATGTAGATATATAGACAGATACAGTAGTCAAATATTCAAATAGATGTTTGATAAACACAAGTATTAATTGATATCTTGCATGTATTATACTACACTATTAACCAGCTTGTAGCAAAATTTCACACACAGAAAAGAAAAATGTCAGTTTATGAAAGGATAAGACAAGAATTTCAGTTCATGGTTTTGAATATGAGTTTTCCAAAAAAAATGTGCATCACATCTAGATAAACAGTTCGAATCGGTCCTTCTGTCCTTATTGCAGAATGCTATTGCCTTTTGCAACCTCGTCTAAGATTTTTCCTCTCACTTTGCAAATCTGCTTACGAGAGTTTTGTTGCCCGACTAGTATAGAAAATGCATAGGAAACAGGGATAGTTGGAGAGAGAGATATAGAAGATAGATAGAGAGGCAGATAGATAGAGAGGAAGAAGGGGGAGATAATGAGAACAGAGAGAGAGAGAGAGAGAGAGAGAGAGAGAGAGAGAGAGAGAGAGAGAGAGAGGAGAGAGAGAGAGAGAGAGAGAGAGAGAGAGTGAGAGAGAGCGAGAGAGAGAGAGAGAGGGAAGGAAGGAAGGAAGTAGCGAATGAGGGTGGGAGGGAGGGAGGGAGGGAGGGAGAGAGAGAGAGAGAGAGAGAGAGAGAGAGAGAGAGAGAGAGAGAGAGAGAGAGAGAGAGAGAGAGAGAGAGAGAGAGAGAATGAATGAAGACAGACAAAGAGACAGACAGACAGATGGACATATACGTCATACATACATACATACATACATACATACATCACCGACAAGGTAAATAGCACTCCCACGAAACCCCCACCCCCCAATCCCACGTGACCTTAGTGAGAGAGAAGAGAAGGAAGGGAGGAAGAGAAAGAAGAGAGGAAGAGAAGGAAGGGAGGAAGAGAGGAAGAGAAGGAAGGGAAGAAGAGAAAGAAGAGAGGAAGAGAAGGAAGGGAGGAAGAGAAAGAAGAGAGGAAGAGAAGGAAGGGGGGAAGAGAGGAAGAGAAGGAAGGGAGAGAAGAGAGGAAGAGAAGGAAGGGAGGAAGAGAGGAAGAGAAGGAAGGGAGGAAGAGAGGAAGAGAAGGAAGGGAGGAAGAGAAGAGAGAGAGAGAGAGAGAGAGAGAGAAAGCGAGATAGATAGATAGACAGAAAGAAAGAGAGATAGATAGATAGAAAGAGAGAGAGAGGACAAAGAGAGACCGACAAATAGACAGATAGACAGACAGACAGACAGATAACACGCAGAGCAAGCAGCCCCCCCCCCCCTAAAAGCAGCAGATGAGACAGGTGGCCTTCTCACTCACTCTGTCTGGATCTCGAAACCCCGGATGTGGACGCCATCTCCCCCCCCCCCCCCGCGCCGTAGGCCTATTGGAATAAAATGCAAATGTCCCGAGAGCAAGGGGGGAAGGGGGGATAGGGGGGGGAAGTGATAAAGAGGAAGAAGGAATGGGAGGAGGAAGGAGTTAGGAAAAGGGAGAGAAGGAGAAAGATGTAGAAATGAGAGAAGGGAAGAAAGAGGTAGAGAAAGTAGGAATAAAAGATAGAAAAGGGGAGGAGGGAGGAGAAAGGAGAAAGGAAAAGGAGTGAAAGGAAGAAAGAGAGAAGAAGGGAAGAGAAAGGAGAGAAAGAGAGAATAGAAGGAAGGAGGAAGAAGGCAGAAAATGAAGGAGTGAAAAGGAAGAAATAAGAAAGGAGAGACAAATAAAAGAGGGAGAAGGGATAAGAAGAGAAAGTGAGGAGGGAGGAAGAAAAGAGACAGAAGATGAAGGAAGGAGGAAGGGAGGAAATGGGGAAGAAGGAAAAAGACGAATGACAAAATTTGGAAAAGAGGAGAAAAGAAAATGAGAGAGGAGGAGGAAGGTAAAAAAAGGAAAATAAACAGAGGAGAAAGAGAGAGGAAGGAGAGAGAAAACAGAACAAGGAGAAGAGGGAAGGTGAAGGAAGAGAGAAGGAAGCAGGGTAGAAGAGAGAGTGAGAAAAGATCGTAAAGAGGGAGTAGGAAGGAGATAGAGAGAAGAGAGGAACAGAGGAGAGGAAGAGAAGGGAGGGAGGAAGAGAAGAGAAGGAGGAAGAGAAGGGAAAGAGGAAGAGAAGGAAGGGAGGAAGAGAAGAGAAGGAAGAAGAGAAGGAAGGGAGGAAGAGAATGGAAGGAGGAAGAGAAGGAAGGGAGGAAGAGAAGGGAAAGAGGAAGAGAAGGAAGGGAGGAAGAGAAGAAAGGGAGGAAGAGAAGGGAAGGAGAAAGAGAAGGAAGGGAGGAAGAGAAGGGAAGGAGGAAGAGAAGGAAGGGAGGAAGAGAAGGGAAGGAGGAAGAGAAGGAAGGGAGGAAGAGAAGGAAGGGAGGAGGAAAAGGAAGGGAGGAAGGGAAGGAAGGGAGGAAGAGAAGGAAGGAGGAAGAGAAGGAAGGGAGGAAGAGAAGGAAGGAGGAAGAGAAGGGAAGGAGGAAGAGAAGGAAGGGAGGAAGAGAAGGGAAGGAGGAAGAGAAGGAAGGAAGAGAAGAAGGGAAGAGAAGGAAAGGAAGAAGAGAAGGAAGGGAGGAAGAGAAGGGAAGGAGGAAGAGGAGAGAAGGAGGAAGAGAAGGAAGGAAGAGAAGAAAGGAAGAGAAGAAAGGAAGAGAAGGGAGAGAGGAAGAGTAGAGAAGGAGGAAGAGAAGGAAGGGAGGAAGAGAAGAAAAGAAGAGAAGGGAAGGAGGAGGAGAAGGAAGGGAGGAAGAGAAGGGGAGGAGGAAGAGAAAAGAATGAGGAAGAGAAGGAATGGAGGAAGAGGAGAGAAGAAAGAAGAGAAGGAAGGAAGAGAAGAAAGGAAGAGAAGGGAAGGAGGAAGAGGAGGGAGAGAGGAAGAGGGAGGGATGGAAGAAGCGACAGGTTCCGCCACTCTGGCCTTTTTTAACAAAAGAAAAACGCTGGGCTGACCTTTGTTCCCACCCTCTAAGCACTTCACTTTCAAACTTAATTGTAGCTTTAATTAATACATCCGGAAATTAGTAACGCTGTGTTTAACCTGAAAATTACCCGTGTGTTTTTTTTATTATTCCTTGAAGAGTTCGTTGTGCCATCTTCCAAAAATCGGGAATTTGGTTGTTGTAATTTTTGGGGGAATCGATTAGATGAATATTAAAGGGTTTTTTTTAATGATGGCCGAGGTGATATCGAGGTCAGCTGACAGGGGTTGTGTCAAGGTGTCATTCCACAGGTCGACCGTCTCTTGACTTTCACCTGATCTGACCCGTGCTCGGACAGTTGCCAGGTACTCTTTTAGGAAAAAACAAAAAAAAATGTATTATTCCTTCCTATCTAACCATCTCCTAACATCTATCATTCCTCCATTTATAGTCTAAGGAGTGTGATTGGTCTCTTTGCGGAATATTGTATGAAAATGAAAGTTATGTATTACCGTTGGCTGTTTTATTATTATCATTATTAAAGAAATTTCTCATATCTGGCAACATCACTTCCTCATGGCGGTTTGGCATAGCATCTGAGCTGGCGCGTCTGGGAGCAGGAAATGACACTTCGGTTCATTCGGTTTGTAAATAAATACATGTGTGTATAGGTAATGTTTACTTACTTGAGAAATAACATATATAACAATCTAGACTCTAAGTATGATATATATACACAAACAAACACACACACACACACACACACACACACACAAACACACACACACACACACACACACACACACACACACACACACACACACACACACACACACACATGCATGCATGCATACACAAACACACACACCCACACACAAACAAACACACCATACACACATGCATACACAATTACATACACAAACACAAACACACACACAGTGATGGTGATTGTGAATTATAGTGATAATAGATATGATTAATAGTGATAATAAGTATAGATTATAGTGATTATAAGTATGAATTATAGTGATAATAGATATAAATTATGGTGATAATAAGTATTGATTATAATGATTATAAGTATAAATTATAGTGAATATAAGTATAAACCACATTGATAATATAATAAAAGACAGTAGTAATAGACACTGCAATACAATTCTTGTTTTCATCAACAAAATATTCCTCAATCGAATTCCTTTTCGAATATCAATACAGAAAAATTACGGCAGATTCGTCAATTTCAAATGAAACTTTTTTCGAACACGAAACTGCCTTCCTTCCCAACTGAGATTCGATTGGACCAGACGTCCGGAAAATGTATTCATGACATGACATAGATCCGTAATGATTGACATATGAATTTTTCCAGCCTCTCCAGACTATATATATATCCATGCACTGCATTTAAT